AAGTAGCTCTCTCCACGGGATAAAGATTTAGTATTTGGGAGTTTCTGCCTATGCATGAGTGTGTCAGAGATTTCCCATTGTTACAAACGGAACAGGAATTTTTAGATCTTGAACCAGATTTAGATGTTCAGATTCAATACTTTTCTCCTTTTCTTCTGTTTCTTGTGGTTCAGTGCCACGCCAAAGTCGCAAATAAGATGCACATTTAAAATATATTTGATAAATAGCACACGTCAGCTCCAAAATAAAACTTCGCCATCCTTTTAACTTCTGGGTATTTTAGCAGGAGGAAGGATTTAAGTCAGCCGAAGGGCAAAAGTAGATGGCAGCTCAGCTCACAGTCCCCTGAGCCCCACTAAAGAAATGCTGATTATTTCGCTTGACTCTGCTTTTTTGTATTTTTAGCTGATTTGAATGAACAGGGAAGCTTATTTTGGTGAAAAGCAGACATAAAAACACTTAAAAGTATTGTGAATGCAATCTGAGCAGCTCAGATCTCAGCCCTGAAAATGAGTATCCAAAAACTTACAATTTATTTAGCTTAAAATAGCTTTATGCTGTGTTTGAACTGGGTTTTATATCTGGTTGCCTTACTTAAACAGAAGTTAAGACCCTTATTGAGCATCTGGTCAAAGATAAACACTTAGGAGGTCATTCATAGACTTGTTCTGTAAAGTTTACAGGCTGCCGTGTTGATGCTTCTACTTTATAATGTTTGTTATCACCAACAAAACATAAATCAACACGCCGTCTTCTGTTGCTTTGGACGTATCCAGAGAATCTATGAGTTTAAGAGCGACGAGTTTCACATTTCAGTGGAGTAGAGGGCATCTCTGCGCCAACCACAACATCCACAGTTCTGTCATAATCATGTCCGTGTAGTAAAATATAGAGGTCAGAGGTCACTGACAACCTGTTGACACGGTGCAGATTTATGCAGCATGCACGCACACACAGCCGTGCAAACACTCAGGCAGCCACAGCCCAGTTTTTTGGCACAGAAGTAAAGAGCAGTGGTTTCTTGTTGCTGCTGATCTTCGGGTCCTTCCAGCTCCAGATACCAGAGACCGAGTTATTCTCCGCTCCGCTCCCTGACCCTCCTAATTGAGAACGGCTGTGAGTGAGGAAGAGAGAGCTAAACAGACAGAGAGAAGATGAACTCTGAAGAAAGACAGAGCGAATGAAAGAAATGAAAGAGCCAGACTTGTGCTGATCAAGTGGAGAGGAGATGTGTGCTAAACAGTCGTCCTCATGAAAGCCAAACCTCCTTCTCTCTGGCCACGGGCCAAACAGAGCCGAGCACAATGTAGCTTTTTCAATATAGTATGTGATAGCTGAAAAAAAGGAGGGTTCAGAGGGGAGAGAGAGAGTCACATGAAGGTAAATCAAAGCTGAGGGTTGGGGAGAAGAGTGGTGAGCTCAGTGACAGCTGCATGCATGTCGTAGTGGGTGACGGTCCGTCCGTCTGTCAGAGCAGATATTTCTGTCTGTTTAGTGCTGCCTTACTGGCTGCCAGAAACACTCCTCATGTCATCGCTGGGTGCCTGCTGTCACAGGCTAAAAAGGAGAGAGGGAGCGGAGTGTGTGTTTGCATGATTGTGTGCGTGAGGGAGAGTGACAGAGAGAGTAACTCGAGCAGCTGTCTTGAAAGCTCCTCCACTCTGTCAGTGCATCTTGAATCTGTTTTCCCCCCATGGTGCCTCCTCGGTAAGACAGTTTTTTAGTCAGTTGTTTGGTCAGGAGTCCGACCTCTCTGCTGTTAAAGAGACACGCTTCGGGGAAATGAACATGTTGCACAGCTAGTGCTTAATGATGGGATCGCAAACTCTGTGGATACATCGACATACAGCATGTCCGCAGTTAGCCAGCATTATATGCTTTAATTCAAAGTAAATAAGTATTTTTGCAACACTGAACTTAACATCATTCAGGCAAAGAGGTAGAGTCAGTGAGCGCTGAACATCCTGGCAAACAGCCACAACGCACCCACCTGTCCTCAGCTCTGCTCTTAAATAAAGGCTGAAGTGGACACTCAAGGTGCTGCAGCTTTTTTGGCACTTAAACACTGAACTTAATTTTCAGCAGCAGAGGTGTTTGCAGCTTTTTTCAAACATGTTTTTATTTATTTTTTATTTAGCCCAAGGCTAGGCCCAAGAGATCAGGGATCACTTTTTCAAGAAAGACCTGACCAAGCAAGAATGGCAGGAACACAGAGTTACAACTATAAAACAAATAACCATTAAACAGTAGAAAAGTCCATAACAGAAGATAGCCAAAATACAATATTGATATTGGATATTGGTCCGATTTTAGCAAAAAAACGAATATCGAACTATGTCGGCCTGCATCTAAAATCTCAGATATCAGCACTCCAATACAGGCAATCCAGACTCCGCTCCGGCACCTCTATCTAGTAGCACCTGGATCCAGCATGTAGAGCCCATGTATTGACAACAACAGTGTGTACTAAGGTACAAACAAAGTACAGAGGAGTAGGAGTCATGTCGGCCATGTGGGGGTATTTTTCATTAAAGTCCGAAAAAGACGTTGTAGTTAAGTGCAAAACTTGTTATGCACAAGTTTGTGCTAATATTGGATCGATATCGGTATTGGCCAATACTGAAGACTACAATATCAGGATTGTATAGGAGGTAACAAATTTGTATTGGGACACCCCTGGCTTAAACAAAGCAGAATAAAAACCTTTTAACAAAGGATTTTAGGCTAACTAAGTCTTGCAGTTTGAAACCAGTCTGCAGATTGTTCCAGGAAGAAAGGTGTACAGTATCTTGAAGCTTTTTTTTCCCACTCAGTTCAGACTTTAGGGACAACAAATTTCACAATGTCCAAACAAAAAAAAAAAAAAAACACCAAATAAATAAAAAAAAACAAAGATTATGAATCCAATCCTTCAAGGTTAGAAGAGAGGAAAGATAAACCAGTACTTTGCCCAGAATGGCTTTACAAATTAAGATATATCAACAACCAAGCTGGCGTTCACTCAGATGAGTCCGATTCACTTTGGAATATAAAGTAAGATGATTGGTAAGAGAGGCTGAGTTTGTAATAAATCTCAGTGCACCATGATATACACTGTTGAGGCTGTGAAGACTGTGAGTAGATGCATTCATGTACAACACATCACCATAATCAAGACTGGGTAAAAAGGTAGACTCCACTGATTTCCTTTTTTTACATAAAAGGAAAAGCAAGACTTGCTTCTGAAGTAAGACCTGAGCAAAAACCTTCAGCTCTTTACTGAATATGCTCCTTAAAAGACAAACTATCATCAATTAAACCCCCCAAGTATTTAAAACTAGATACCAACTGAATTTCACACCCGTCTTTGGTGACAATTTCCCCTGATGAGACTATAATCACCACTCTTGAAGATGCTGAAAACATGAGTTTAGTTTTATCTGCATTTAGAACGAGCTGCAGTTGACAACTTGAACTAGATCAGATGTGTGCTCAAGTTTCAAGAAAGCCTGAGCAGGCGTAGGTGCACAGCAATAAACAACAGTGTCATCAGCATAAAGGTACATTCTGTTTGAGACAATGTGTGTAAAAGGTTAATAGTAGTGAGCCCAGAACAGATCCTTGTGGCACCCCCTTGTGGATTTGTAGCTCTCTCAGTATTTAAAGCCTATAATAGTCAATAAACAAAGAAAGGAAACACTGTTTACCATCGAGGGCTTCAAGAATGTCATTTCTAACTTTGATGGCAGCAGAGACTTTAGGTTCAACCTGCATGTTACATTAATACAATAAGTGCAAGTACAGGTTTTTTTTATAATGAATTGTGGGTATTATGAAAGGGTGACCATACGTCCTCTTTTACTCGAACATTTCCTCTTTTGTGGGGGCTGTGTCTGGGGAAGTTGAGGAAATTCTTCAATTATCTGCGGTTTTGTACTTAAGTTTCGAGTTTGTGTCACGTGGACTTACTGAGTTAGAAGTGTGTAAAAGACACTCGATTCAACCCGAAAACTCTCAAAATTAACTTTGTGCGACTCCGTGACTCCGCCCCTGCGTAGTCGTGTCCTCTAACTAATAGACTTCAACATATCTTAGCTGTGGAAACTGATAACTTAAGTTTTAGATGCGGTTACATGAAGCCAATTTCAATCCTTATACAGGAGACCAGGAATTGCTGCTGCAGCGGCCCCTGTAAAGACAGTGCTGTATGTTGCTTGGTTGCACAGATCCTCATTCATATATCCTTTTTTGTATCATCCATACAATTTCAGATTTTAACAGAAAACCCCAAACATCCCCAAAAAGGAAAATATAAAAAATAAATTGCTATAATCTGTAACGTCAGAGACAAATCGTCATATATATATATATATATATATATATATATATATATATATATATACAGTATGCCCAAAGTACTAGGTGATCCTCTCAGGAAACTTGTAGCAGCTAGAATGAAAAAAAAAAGACGGTCGTAGGTGGCTGAGTCTGTCAGAGCCTGTAGGAGGAACATTTTACATTAAATATTAAATAAAGACACTGCTCTGTTTGGACTCCTCCTGAGTAAAATGACTGTGAGGTAATGACTGTGTAGGTGGATCAGGGGGACAGTGCAGAGCTTTAAACTCAAGTGCTCACCAGTTACTCAAAAACTTAACCAGGCTGGTCTGCTTCATAAAAACATTCAACATTTAGCAGTTTGTGAATATGTTGAAAAAAAAAAAACTGCGAATAATTATTTTGGATACTTGTCATACCGGCTGTGATCATTTAACACACTAAACCAGCATGAAACATATGGATGATTTCACCGTCTGTACTCTCAGCACTTGAACAATGCACAATCTCTGGTTCTTACTAATATGTGGTATTTCTGCCTTTAAGTGCCGGCCATTGACTGTTAGATTGCAATCATCTGTTTTTGGAGAGCTGTCGTCTGATTACAAACATGTGTTTTTCACCAAACGAGATGGCCATCGAGTGAGGTAATGGAATGGTCTGAAAATATTTAAGAGCATTAGTTAGGTAGGAGGCTGTGCATTGGCTCGCTGGTTTTCACAGAGCTTGAGAGTTTGCACAAAATAGCTGCTCAGGTGGTGCAGTGAGAAGTTCTGCATGATCTCCAGGTTGCTCTGGTTATTATACTCGATTGCCTGCGTGATCTGATCATTCCTGGAAAGATAGATGCACAGATGAGGGTGTCACTGCAGATATCTCGGCTGTTTTGACCTTTCTGTGACTGCTTTTCGAACCCTGAACACAACATTATTTTTAAGATTTAACGACTCGAGGAGGCAGGGTTACCTAATTCCTCAAATGTAATCCCTAAGCTGGAAAACCCCTTGATTTGTAGCAACGATATAAGCGTTCACAGAGACATCACCTATAATTTTGTGGCAGCCGTGTCACCATGAGTCCAACATTAGATTCTGTACCCTCAGCGTTAGCTTCCTGACAGCGCCGTAACCCCACACCAGTGTTTATGTTCTTTAGGTTAACACGGTTATCTCCGTGCGTAACCTGAGCCCTCCACCTACACGGGCACTTGGCACACATGTGTGCGTGGTTTGCGTGTGTGAAGTGTGTGATCTTGCAGCTGCAGGACCCGTCTCTTTTCCCCCAGCGTCTCTCTCCAGAAAGAGCTGCAGGGACTTGCCAGTATTTTCATTCCCTCTGGAGGCATTTCCGCACGCTAACAAAGCCCGGCCTGCGTGATGAAACGGGGAGGAAGCAGCTTTTGTGGAGGGAGCAGCCAGTTTTTTGGTGTGTGTTTTGTGTGTCTGTGTGTGTATATGTGTGTGTGTGCTGACCCTGTCTGACAGTTTGTTACATGCAGATTTACTTTTGAGCTTGTAATTCAGGCTGCTCCAGGCTCTTGTTTGCTCACAAGCCTGCTGTAGCACGAGAACAAACCTTCTCTGAGACTCATTCAGAGACAGAGCTACCTCCTGTTTGCCTCTAATTAACTACTTTAATAGTTAGCATGGAGCTGGGTTAGTTAGCATTGTTTTATTTTACCAGACTTGTCAACCACTTACTTTCCTCTGTGCTGCAGCTCATGGTCACAGTTCTCCAGAGCGTCTGGAACTGACTGAAACCGACCATAAATAGCAGAAAATTACAGTTTTTTTAGAGCTAACATAAAACACTCCTAAAGCTCATGTCTGGATAAAAACACAGATTCAAATCAAAAACATCCCAGCTATTTTTTGAGTTCACTGTCTGGGTATTAATATTTCTCTTTGCTGCAAGAAACTCTTTGTAAAGTCGGTGGTTTCCAGAAATAACTGAGGTGAAGACTCACACAAAACATCATTCTTGCTGTCTCACTTGAGGTCATGACACAGCTACCAAAATCACATTTAAAGAAAAAAAAAAAAAACAGGAGCAAAAGCAAAGAGAGATCTGCACCACAGCGTCGATAAAGCTGAGGTTTTTTTTTTTTTCTTTGGGGTTACCGACGGAGTCAGCGTCCTGTGGGCCCTGTGACACACGCTCATGCCCATAAACAGGGATTTGGCCCTCTGGAGAAAATAACCTTGATAATTACTGGGTGTATATGGACCTGCCCACAGCAGAAGGAGGAGGAGAAGACGGGGTTGACTGAGAAAGAGAGAGAGAAAGAAAGAGAGAGAGAGCCACATCCGCTGGTGCATTCCTCCATGCTGTGTCATACCGGTGCTGAGTTTCCCCTCAGTTTGCACAGTGATTTCCACAAAGCTAAGAGTGCAAAGGGCCACTGACGCAACGCTCCAGGCTGTGGACAGTGACATTTAAAGTTTAACAAGGCAACAAGCTGCACATTCATGGACTCCCCGCAGTAACAAAAAAGACAACAAAAACTGTTTAAAGAGTCAAATTGGGATCTCTGCAACAATGGGAGACTCAGCCCGCTGACCTAACCCTTGATGCGCTCATAGATTTCACTTCTCCCCCCGTCTTTTTCTGCCTTCCTCCCCGGTCACATGGTCGCCCTGGTCTGGTGGAATTGGCATCAGTACAGCAGCCAGAGCCGAATGTCTGTGGTTGGCTGGCTGCCCGTCTGCTCGCCTGTCATTCAGCTGGTTAAAGAGGCCTTGTTGAACCGCTGCACTGTGCCCGGCTACTACAGGGCCATTCATGCCTGTAAAGGCAGAAAACAGCCAAGTCCTGTCATCAGCGCCAGCTAGCACATACCAATTTACTACTGGAAAATGACAAGGGCATTTTGCTTGGTAAGCACAGACAGTTTCCCCCTGCTGAGCAACCTTGTAACCCGGTTTCCTTTTTTCTCCTCAAAGTTTGGATTACATCTCACAGAATGAGAGGCGTCTTTTCTGACAGAGCATCTTTAGACAAACAGCGTTCGAGTCTCAAATATGTTCTCCGTCTCTGTTGCATGTGCGCCGCCTACATGGAGTGTAAAGTGAACTAGACTGATCTGTTCCCAAAGGAGTCGAGTAACAACAGCACCAAACAACAAAACAAATCCTTTGTGCTGCCTTCGAATGCCGGAAATTTCAAACAGAAGACTTAAAAAATACAGTTTGTCACTCTGAGGGAGGTTTGTTTCTCTCTCTCTCTCTCTCTCTCTCTCTCGTCAGTTGTTCTTTGTGCCTTTGGCTAATGGCAGCTCTCCTTGTCACAGCTGACCTGGGCTTTTTTTTGCAGCGGTCTCCGTCCTTTTCTCAGTCCCAGAGTGACACACAGAGCGAGGACATGCATGAGAGCCATGACTTCATCCTGTGTCTCCCGCCTCTCCTCGTTCACTCGCTCCGCACTTATCATCCTTGTCTCCTCCGCTTTCTCTCTCTCTTGTCTTTTTTTTTTTTTTTTTTTTTGCGCCTGTAGTCCCAACATCTTCCTGCTATGATTACCAATAGTGTTTTTTCCCCAGCCAGTGTAATGTCTAGAGCCTCCTGTGTCCTTGGAAAGCCGCCTAATAAGCTCAGACACACACTGCTGTCTCTGCGCTCGGCGGGCCTATTCTCCAGTGTCACCCGGCTCACACTGAGGTAAACAAAAACTGCCACAAACACACACAAGCTATCCTAGTGGTGTGCTAATAGACCAGCATACCAAACCCACAGAGGACGGCGTCGACGCTAGCTTGCTAACGTTGACCTTCTGTGTGCCAATCAAAACAAATCTGCTCCCAGATTTGAATATGGGGAGGAGAAGAGTGTAAATTGAAAGCAGAAATCCCCCTGGTGTGAGACAAGATGAGCCTCTGAATAAATTATTCAGATGGCAGCCTCTTTTCCTGCATGATTCTCGCCTTCTGCTACGTTTAATGGCATCTGTGACGACGCCCATTGGAGATTAATCCAGATGTAAGACATTTGTGTGCGTTTCCGTCTCCCTGTGTGTGTGTGGCCCGCTCACCCCGCTTCTTGTGCATCCCCGTCGTGTTGTATGATGGGGAAACAAAGCCTCAACAGGGGAATTTATTTCTCCTCCGCAGAGGGCTGTAAATAAACAACTAGTGAATCAATGCCTCCATTTGTTTTTCTCTGATAATTCTGCCTGTGTCGGTAGGAGGAGTGGCGGAGTGTGTGTGTAAGCCGGCGTAGCTCTCAGCAGCCATATTTCCTCTCGCTGAGAGCGAGGAAACACGCCACCCCGGCCTCATGTTTCATTTCCAGGGATCAGTAAATTACTGTGTGCTTTTTTAAATCACTCATTGCAACTCATTTAGCGCCATGATGGAGCATTTGTAAGAGCGGGAAATAATACCAGCATTAGATATTGTGCTTCAGAACTACTCGATCCACACAGAAATAGAAACTATGAGGGGAAACTGAACAGAAGAACCCACAATAATCCTGAGTGGATGTGTCTCAGTCTGTGTGAGCACAATTGTTGCTCAAAATCGGTTGAATAAAGATAACTCGTGTCTTGGAATTCAGTGTTTACTTGTTTGTAATGGGAATATACGCAAAATAAATCTCTCCTAAAGGCACTATCAGGAGTTTTTAACAGATTTTGAGATAGAGTAACTTTTATTCTGATGCCTTTTGAGAGTAAAATGAGCAACGTTAGCAACAAAATTGGTTGTCTCTTTACTCTAATTATTCACGCCCCCGTTTGAGTTGTAAAAGCCATGAAAAGAGTTTATTTTTGGTGAAGTCTGGCAGTGAGAAATAAGTTACAAAGAAGGATGAGGTTTTTGTTTTACTTTTACATTCTGCTTTGTACTGTTTTGGCTCATACTCAAACACGAGAAGCAAAAGACGTATGTTTTTTTTTTTGAAGAGAGTGTTTATATTCACATTAGTCAGACATTTGTTGGGACACCAAAGCAGACAGTATGAGGTTAAAGTTAATGCTGAACTGGTACATCTATTCATCTTTAGTGAGCTGACTAACAGCAATAGATCAGAGTTTTAAAAGTTTTATAATTATTATATTACAGTCATGAAAAATTGGGCTTGTACTCATTTTTTTCATTCATTCTGTTTATCCTTTCTCAAGTAAATCAAAGATATCATACTCTGTTTACAAAGACCCAATGTAAAGGTGGGATAAGATTGAGCTCCACCTCATATAGGGCTGTCCCGATACGATATTGATATTGAATATCAGTCCGATATCAGCCATAAAACAAATATCAGATTATATCGGCCTGTATCTAAAATCTCCGATATCAGCACTCCGATACAAGCAGTCCATTCCAGACTCCACTCCCGCACCTCTAGCTAGCAGCGCCCAGATCCAGTATGCAGAGCCCATGTGATCACAACAACATAGTGTACAAAGGTACAAACAAAGTAGCAAGGAGTAGAATTGATGTCGGCTGTGTGGCAGTATTTTTGGTTTAAGTCTGAAAAAGACGTTGCATCTGAGTGCAAAACTTGTCATGCACAAGTTTGTGCCAATATCAGATCAGTATCTGTATCGGCCGATACTGAAGACTACAATATCGGTATCATATCGGAAGTAAAAAGGTTGTACCAGGACACTCCTAACCTTATAAGATCAGACCCACTCCCACCCCATTTTCATCCACATGAGTGACACACTTTGCAGCATTTAGCAAGTTACAGCGGAGAGAGAAAAAAATTCCTGTAGCAGGCAGAAACCTTGAGCAGAGCCAGACTCATGTTAGACTGTCATCCGCCACCAATGCATCACATTTAGAGGGGGGATGTAGAAAGAACATATCTGTTGAAAACCTGCTTGTTGTACTCAGATATCTTTCAGCCTGGGAGAAATTGTACCTCCTGAAGATACATGAAAATAAAATCATTTTTAGAGGGGAGGTGACCCTTTAAATTAGAGGACTAAACTGCCTTTTTCCCTAATTGCAGTTGTGCTGCCTCTGTAACTATAATGAGCAGATCACAGGTCCTTTAAAATACGGGGGGAGGTTCTTGTATTAGCTACAGTTCAATGAATACCAGCAGCAGTGAAAAACGCTGTTAGCAGAGTGAGCCACAGCTCTTAAGGTGTGCAAACCTTTATTAGCAGCATATGTTAAGCTAATACTGCTGGTGGTAATGCCACCATGAGAGCCTTTAATGAGCTGATGGTTTACAATAGTATTCTTTTTCCTTAAAATACCCCTCCCTGCATCCCATATCCAAGTGTGAAATTACAATATCAGATCATATTTAGTTAATTAAACTCATATGACTAATTTAATTTGACTTGAATATGGAGGATGAATAAATCATGGGGGCGTATTTAGCTTGCTAGCACTGGTGTTAACAGTAATTAAATGTGGGGCAATCTGTAGCCTCTGAGTCGTCTTTACGCCCACTGTAAGAGTGGAAGAAACGAAGTCAGATGTTTTTTGGGAAGCTTTCGAGCTGAATATTAATGAAAGGATGTGGGAGTTTCAAACACCCAAAGTAAGAGTTAAAGATGCAGTCCTGTAAAGTAAGCCGCCGCATTAATAGTCTAGGAGCGACCGTCCCATTAGGAGATCTGCTCATTGTACTTGGAGAAGAAGCCAGGAGCAGAGAAGAAGAAGTGCTCCTCCATGATTAGAGCCTGGAGAGTTCAAAGACAGCTGCTTCTGCAACCAAGAGTGGCGCAAAACACTCAGAAGGAAGACGAGGAAAAATCAGCTCGCATTTGTCATTTGAGTGTTTTATCTTTCATATTTGGCGGGGATTAGAGATGCACATTCTCTCCGGCTCTGTCAGTCCTTGTTATGCGCTTCCAATCTGTCAGAAGCACGACAGGGCGCTTTATTACATCTCGATAAATGATGCCACCTAAGTCTTGTTTTCCTATCACTAAAAAGCAGATTGTGTTTTGTCACGCTCCCTGATGTGCGTTGCATTCTGTTTTGTCTCATTTTAGACTCGCTCTGTGATTGATGAGGATTAAGAAGCTGATTTTGCCTAATAGGGAACACAGGAGCATCCTCATCCACACTGGTAAGAATACTTATTTATACCTTATGTCTTCATTTAAGTAGCTGATACAGTGATGCACATATACTTTTGCAAACAAGATTAAAAAAAAAGGCTGCAGTTTGAGTTTTCTAGCTTTTGTAGTGTCACAGCAGCCTCTGAACACACCAGCGTTTTGTCCCAGAACAGAAGGAGCTGCTGATTGTGCTGTATGGTAACTAAGACGGAAGACCTTCAAACAGCTAAAAGTGAAAAAAAATCATACAGAGAAACTTCATCTTAAATCATCCATGAGACAAGAAGCCCTAAATCCTTTTCTTTCTTTGTGATCCTGACATTGATAAAAAAAAACTTGGTAACACTTTACTTGACGCCTTTCTCTGTAACCCATTATAAATATATGTATAATACATTATAGTCATGTTATAGCACTGTATAACTATAGTTATAAACCATAGACTGTATATAGAATGGACACCGTCTGCCTCCTCGCTGGGTAAAGCCACCCCGAGAACAGCACCCTCTGTTGATGGGCTGCAGTATAGGTCATTAATCCCGCCTCCTCCAGCAATCCTTATGGAGCTGTGGACAAACTTGAGAAATGTATTACACAGAATATAATTTTTTTTCCCCCTGGTTGCGATGTTGACATGTTGTTAAAGTAAGACTGGTTTGTGCTCCATTTTTAAAAGTTATCAGGGGGCTCACACTGGGGATAAGCTGTTTAAGCCGAGTGTCATCACAGCAACTCTCAGCGACTCTCCCACCGAATTCATACAACGCTACTGCGCACTTTTGGTTTCAGGAAATGGAGAAAAAATGCGGAATTACTAAGAGCTTTTCAGCTTCAAATCCGTATACTAACGGAAGGCGGAACCAAGTTGTCCATAGTATATACAATCTATGTTATAAACACTCATAAATGATCATTATGCTTTACAGCAATAATCATAACACATTATAAAGCATTTCATCATGACTTACAAGGTCAGGTATTATAATGTGTTATAACTGTTAACAACTATTTGATAATACCCACATAGATGATGCATTATACATATATTTTTGATGTGTTATAATTTGCTTATAAACTTGCATAACCATCATTATAAACACTCATTAATTATCATAAGGCTTTATAACAACAAGCATAACACATTATAAAACCTGACCTTGTAAGTCATGTTAAAATGCTTTATAATTTGCTATGATTATTGCTATAAAGCATTGTGATCATTTATGAATGTTTAAAACTATATTTATACAGTGCTATAACGTGATTATAACACATTATACATACATTTATAATGCGTTATAGAGATAGGCGTCAAGTAAAGTGTTACCAAAAACTTTTTAAGGAACAGTTTCAACCAAAAAGCATCTCAGAACTTACAGAATTGACTCAAACTGTTTTGAATAGTTGCA